TATAAAAAATCTTAAAAAACATAATTTATGTATTAAAAAAAATCTAAAACAAATATAAATATCTATAATTATCTCGTGCATAGCACGGGTGATAGGCTAGTATGCAAGTACATGAAAGTAGAGTAATTATTTTGAATTATTCCTGTTTAAATGCAAAATTTTCAATTATTTTCAACAATTTTTTTAAAAAATAACTCATGTTTTAGAAAATATCAAAAAATTAATTTTGATTTTTAAAAACTAAAAATATATAGGCCCTGTTTGGTAACGTTTACGTTTTCAGTTTATATTTACAAAAATTTTATAAACTGGTTTTTGTTTATTTTTAGAAAAACATAAACTACAAACGCGTTTGGTAATTGACAAAATGTTTAAAAAAAATTAAATATAAAAGTGAGAAGAAAGTGGTGGGCGGGTGGTGGTGGAGAGAGAGTGTGGGTGAAGCGGTGGATGGAATGATGGGGTGGTGGTGGTGGAAGAGGTGGTCGGAATGGTGGGAGTTGGGTGGTGGTGGTGGTGGGTGACGGTTGCGGTGTTGTAAGTAGCGGTGGGTGGTGGTGGTGGTGGGGGTGTGGCATGTAGTGGTGGGATGGAGGTGGTGTGGTGTGGTGGTGATGGGTGAGGTGGCGGTGGTAGGTGGTAGCGGTGAGTGGTGGTGGTGGTGGTGATGGTAGTGGCGTGGTGGGAGTGGTGCAGGTGAATGGGAGTCGGGTGGTGGGTGATGGTGGTGTGGGTGGTGGGTGGTGTGGCGGGTGGTTGAGGCTGGGGTGGTATCAGTCGGGGGGTTGGTGGATGGTGTGGCAGTGGGTGGTGAGTTGGCAGTGGTGGTGGAGCACTGGTGCGGGTAGGTAAAGCAGGTGGGTGGCAGGTGGGTGGTGGTGGTAGGCGAGGGTTGAGTGGTGTGGCAAATGGATGAGCGTGATGGTGGGTGTGTGGTGGTGGTAGTTGGTAGTGTGGTGGTGGTGCGAACAGGTGGTAGGTGCTAGTGGGGTGGTGGATGGTGGTGGAGGTAGGTGGTGAGTGTTGGTGGGTGGTGGTGGCGCGTTGAATATAGTGGCGGTGTTGGGGTGAGTGGTAAGTGGTGGCGAGGGTGGGTGGGTGGTGGTGGTGTGGTGGGCGGTGGTGGTGGGTTGGCGAATAGTGGGTGGTGGTGGTGGTTGGTGGCGAGTGGGTGCAGTGGGTAGTGGTGGGCGGGTTGGTTGGTGGTGTGAGTGGTGGTGGAGGTGGGGGGGATAGTGATGGGTGTGGTGGTGGATGGGGAAGACGGTAGTGGAAAATGGTGGCGGGTGGTGGCTAGTGTTGGGTGGTAAAAAAAACTCAAAACTCAAAACGTAAACTCATTTTTTTGTATTTACATTTTTTGGTTAAATTTATAAACTGAGACCATTGATTTATAAATAAAAAATTTACCAAACAAGTTTTTATTTGAGATTTTAAAATTTTTGTAAATATAAACTGAAAAGGTAAGTGTTACCAAATGGCACCAAAATAATGCATGCTTTCAAACTCTTTATGGGATTTAGCTATATTTCCATATCACTCAGGAGTGTTTGGAAATTGGCTTTTCAATAGTTTTTAAATTTTTTATGAAAAAAAACATACAGAAAAGACATTTTAATATTTTTAAATTTTTTTTTTGAAAGAATGTAAAAAAAGATAGAGAGAATGATTTGACAATTTGTAATAATTTTTTTGACTTTTTGAATAAAAACTCTACTTTCCAAACAAGGCTTAAAAGCATAGGTCCCAAGCGTGGTATATAAACCTTGGTGGGCTTAAGCTTTTGGGTTGGGCTTGGGCCGTAGTCCTTGTGGGCTTCTCAGGAAAAACCTTCCACTAGTAAAAGCGGTATAAAATAACATGGCCTTACTGGCATATAAGCCTTGGCGGGCTTAAGATTTTGGGTTGGGCTTGGGCCTAGTTCTTGTGGGCTTCTCAGGTAGAACCTTCCACTACCTAAAGAGGTAGATGAAGAAGATTATTGAGTACTTCGTACATGAAAAATAAGAGTGAAAAAAGATACTGGAGGATGGAATTAGAGCAAATTGAAAATTTTGATAAAAAAGGCAGTACCTATTAATTAAAGAATTTTGTTAATGTTTGTTTTTAAGATATATTTAAACGATTTAAAAAGATTGTATATTTTTTATTGCCCTTTGCCATTTGTTTCATCTGCTATTTGTTGTGCCACTAAGCGGGCTCTCCTTGTCCCAGCCGTTAGGAATAAGCCAGATTTATATCTGTATTGTTGATTAAAGAAACAAAGAAATGAAGAAGAAAAAGAAAAGGACCAATAAAATCCAGTGAGGCCTTCAAAGGAAAAGAGAGTTTTAAGGACCACATCTAGTGAATTTCCACCTAAACTTTTCTCAGTAAAGAATAAGGTGGTAAAGTGGTAGTCTGCAAAAGAAAGTCACCAAGTCAGTTAATGGATATAAAGACCCCAGAGGTCCATTCCTATAATTTTTCACCAATTGCAAGTATTAAGGGGTTGTTTGGAATGTTCTAAATAAGTGTACTTTTTGACTTTTTATGAAATATGAGTTAGATATGGGTTGGATTTGAAGTGATGTGATGTGATAGAGAGGTGATGTGACTAAAATACGATGATATGACTCAAATAAGATAGTGACTTTTTGACTTTTTAAATTTTTTTAAAAATGCCAAACTTGACCTAAATGTCACATTTGTATGCTGGTCCGGCGTGACTATTATCATTTTGATAACTTACACTTTAATTACTTGTCTTCACATACTATGAAAATTGGAATTTTTCCACCAACATATTAAGAAAATGTTGATTTTTCAAAAATGGGAAATTTTCCATTAAGATAAAGAAAAAGTTGAGTGTTTGGCACAGTTTTATAATCATAATTCCACCCCTCTGTTTACATGTGTTATTTGGATAGAGTTTTGAAAATATGATTCCACCACACATTTCAAAACATATTTTTGTTTCACGTTTGACAGATTCGTACATACTCTCTCTCTCTTTTGTCTTTTTCATTCTAAAAAGCAGAGAAATTTTCGAATTTTGAGTCTATCCAGTCATCCTTCCGGACATTTGGCCGGTTGATCGGCCGATTGATCGGAATAGATTTTTTTTTTTTTTTTTGCAATCGCCAATCGCCAATCGCCAATCGCCACCTGTTATTTGAAAAATATATATATATTTATTTTTGATATTTTTTAAATATAGAAATTATTTTTTTAGACCAAAATGACAAATTATTTTTTAAAATTAAATTTTAAAAAGAGTTTGATTATGAGTTTTGAATAGAATTTATAATAGAGTTTAGAATTTTGAGTTGTGTGTGCTTGGTTATGAATTATAAGTTTTTCAATTAAGTTTTGAAAACACTTTTCAAAACTCATAACCAAATAATTTTTCTCATTTCATATGTCACATCAAAAATTTAAAATTTAATTCAAAATTCTTTTCAAAACTTATAATCAAATAATTTTTCTCATTTCATATGTCACATCAAAAATTCAAAATTCAATTCAAAACTCAAACCAAACAAATTTTCTTTTTTCAAATTATAATTTCAAAACTCACAAACTCAAAATATAATTCTATTATCAAATTATAATTCTAAAATTTTACCAAACACTACCTGTTTTTGCCATCAATATGATGCAAATCGCAATCAAAACAGCACTGGCATGTTTTGAGATTGATTTGTTGCCTCCGTTTGCGAAGTGGGTTGACATTTTGGTTTTTTTAATTTTTTTAATTATTTTAATTTGGATTAAAAAATTTGATTTGGGAAAAACTTTTTGACTTTTTTTGTGGGAGAAGAGTGTAACGATTATGGGTTAGATGTGATGTTTTGTTTGTTATGCCTAAAATAGCCAAAAAAGCTCTTGCCAAACAGAAACAAATCAAACTTAAAAATGTTTGAAAAGTTATTCAATGTGTTTGGTTTGAGTTTTCTAGATTAATTTTTTGAAAATTGAATTTTTTGATTTTCATATTTTTTTTTTGTTTTTAGTGAATATTTTTAAAATTTTAAACATTTTTTTACTTTCTAGATGCCCCTTAGTTAGATGTATTTAAAGAGTAAAAAAATTGTGAAAAAATATTTTGAAAAATTAATAAATACATGAAAATATAAAAACTGTACTGAATTCTTATATTTTTTTGTATTTTTAAAATTTAGTGAATTTTTTAAAAAAAAATTTCCAATTTTTTTACTTTTTATGTGTATTTATGTTAGGTGTGTCTAAAAAATAAAAAAAAATGCTTAAAATATTTTTAAAAATTCAGTAAAAACAAAAAAACATGAAAAATAAGAAAGTGAAATTTTTTTTAAAATATTTTTAAAAAAATGAAAACAAAGTGAATATTTTTTTAAACGATAAATATATACACATTACACAACTATATGAATTTAAAAATAAAACTAAAAAAATCAGAGTTACTCAACTCAATTAAAGTTTGTTCTAGATGAGCCAACAAATCAAGTTTTAAAATATATCTTTATTTTCTCAAACCAAGTACGAACAACTCATTATTTAACTTGACTCGATTCATTTGTGTAGAATAAAAAAATTGTTCTGCTATAATGACTTCTTGTAAATTTACTTCATAATAAATACTTCACAAAAAATTATACATGGACAAATAATCTTTATTAAGTTCTGGTAATAAGATACAATAAAATTTTAAATTAATATTTATTCCATAGGAGCAAATGAAAAGAGAAGCAAATTTGTTTTTTTCATTATCATCATCATCATCATAATCGTTATACAACTCAAAGAGGGCTCATAGGGTCCTTCTAACCTACAATTTTTCTATCTCTACACCCTATTTGCCCCCACTAAAGCCTCAAATACATCTGTATACAAAAAAATTTGCGACTCAATAATTTGGCCCTTCAACTCACCACTCAGGTACACTTGCTTTATAAAAACAATATTCACCACCAAGGACTTGCTTTTTGTATTATTGACAAAATGCCACCATAGCTTTTGGACTTGGGCAACTGGGTTTGGACTTTGCCGCTCCCCTCTTTAACGAGTTTAGATCCTCTTCTTGTGCTCTCTCCTTACCTCCTTACTTGCAATGGTGGAGATACATTTTGAGTTCATCTAATGGTCTAGATTTGAGCGGAAAAAGTAAATTTGAATTTGTTTTATTATTTTTTTATTTTTAAATAATCAAGTATGAACCATTAGATCAACTCAAAGTGCATCTTCACCGTTGCAAGTAGGGATGTGAGGAGGGAGCGCAAGGGGAGGATCTCAACTCCTCTTTAACGGTCAAATGTATCAAGAATATTCAAATTTTCTAATATTTGCTACATTTAATACAAAGAAAAATACTGCTCAAATTTTTGATAATTCTGGTAAACCACCAGCTTTAATGAGAAGGTTGTACCAAAACTCCATGTCATCATCAATATTGAAGTTGTACTCATTGACATGTTCCATTGTACCAATAGAAGCTGCCATTGATGGAGATAATGGAAATGGAAATTGAAATTGTAACTCCTCGGCGAAACCAGCAAAATCCGATTGCATGGTGGAATTGCCGGTTGATAATTCTTCGGACCAAAAACTTTCATCAATTTGAGGAAATGTCTCAGATGTGTCCATTGATTCATCCTTAATGACTACGTTGTTTGGTAAGCCAGCTAAGTCTGTGACCGATGAGAGTTGACTAGAAGAATCTTGTGGGGAAACTGATGCATACTCAGAACTCTCAAAACCCGAATTCAAGGTGTTGGATTCACCTGAGGAATTGGAATCACATTTGGGCTCTGTCACTGTTTGTCCTTTGGTGTTGGAGGTGCTTTGATAATTTTTGAGCCTTTTCTTCAAGTGGGTGTGCCAAACATTTTTAATCTCATTGTCGGTCCGACCCGATAATCTTGCTGCGATTGCAGACCATCTGAAAATGGACAAAAATATGTTCATATAAGAAAATTACAGGAGTTTGTCAAGTTTAGCTATATATTTGTTTAATTTATAGTGGCCCTAGTGGGTAACATGCATGAAAGCATCTGATTAAATTATATTTTAGTTTATATAATTATGACCATTAAGAGTGCACAAAAGCCTAATAAGATATGATCTATGCATAGATATTAGTATTAATGTCATTTGGCCTAATTTTCTGATGGACAAAATAGAGAATCTTTTCAGCCCTTCTTGTGTAATGTTCTTGGTGAATTATACCTTTAGTCCCTTTTGTTTTATTGAGATTTTATTTTGGTTCTGATAGTTATAGTTTTATTAATTTAAATTTCACATTTCTAATTGCGTTTGTTCAAGAACTATATTAATATTTTGAACGGAGAGAGGTCACGTGTAACTCACGGAAATACTAAGCAATATTTTGAATTGTTAATATATATATATATATGTATATATTTTTGGTACGAAATACTAACCAATAATGATTTTGAAAGGACTAACCAATAATGATCATGAAATTTTTTTACTAACCAATAATGATCATGAAAATTTTTTCACCGTTAGATTACGTATACAAAAAAGGGTATGGCATACCCTACAAAAAAATATCACACACTAATCAAGAATGAAAAGTTTTCATGATATTATTTTCATGATCCGTGGTATTATTCATTTGGATTAAGAAAGCAGTTACTGTGTGGCATCATCAAATTCAACTGCGGCGGCCGTGACAATCAATGTCGACATTGCTAACACTTTCAGTGTAATCAAAATAAGACTAAGATGTCTATAACTATATATTATATAGGAAAATGATAAATTGATAATTATTAATTTAAACAATAAAATTTATTACTTTTGTGTCAGTATTTTATGAAATAATATAATAAAATATCAATCAATAAATAAAATGGAGCGTTGTTTCAAACACCTAATAATTTTTCATCTATATGTTGCTGATCAGATTGTATTATTATTAATATTATTTTTCATATATATGTTTCTGATCAAAATTTATTATTATTAATATTATTTTTCATAGGTACATTTCTCGAAATCTATGTGATTGAACGTGAGGACCCATATATCATCAGTATGTGGTGGTGTTTGATTCATGGCCAAGAGCATTACATACTTTCCAACAAAATTGAATTAATGAGAGACAGTGCAGAGAAAAACACACACCTATTCCCAAGCATTTCGTGTAAGTTGATGATTGTATCCTCTTCTTCTTTATTAAAATTCCCTCTCTTAATGTCTGGTTTCAGGTAGTTCGTCCACCTCAGTCTGCAACTTTTTCCACATCTCAATAGGCCTAAACAAAATCAATTAAAAAAAAATACAATTTAGTCACTTTATTTCAAGAGAAACTTATAATAAGAAGTGATTGAAATTTGTATAATCAACTTAACTTTATATAATTATGTATATATATCTAGTTAGTTAAATGCAAAGATAAAAAAACAAGTAGCAAACTGAAACTGAAGCCAGTTCCAAAAAAATAAAAATAAAAACTGAAACTGAAACTGATGCATTTTTTATTCTTTATTTTTTTTTTTGCAAAAGAAATAGGTGGGATTTGCAACTACTTTATGCACTGGGGGAAACAAAAATTTGGCATGTCTGGTTGTGTTTTATTCTCTTCGCTTTCGTTTTTCAAGTTTTTTGAAACAAAAATAACGAAAAGTTTGAAAATAGTAAATTTTCATATCATTCTTATTTTTGTAGGTTCTAAAGAGCAATGGAGTTCTTGATATTATTCACTTTTTCACACTAAAATACAGAGATGGTCTATGTATATATAACAAGAGATAATGACCATAACTACCTAACCAACAATTAACTACTTGTGGTTAAGGCCTAACAAACTAACTACCTTCCTAACAAACTAACTACCTCAAGAATACTCTAGAATGCACTGATAAGCTGAAGCCTTGAAACAAAAATTTGGCATGTCTGGTTGTGTTTTATTCTCTTCGCTTTCGTTTTTCAAGTTTTCTGAAACAAAAATAACGAAAGGTTTGAAAACACTGGTAAATTTTCGTATCATTTTATTTTTGTAGGTTCAACAGTTTGAAGAACTTTTTCAAGTTTCTTTAAAAAATAAAAAGTTTGAATTGTTTTAAGAAATACAAATTAATGTATTTCTTTGCCGTATATATATCTAGATGGGGATATATATAGGTAGTTAATTACCAGCTTGCTTAGGAAGAGCACGCCAGTTTCCATGGCCGTGTTGTCGTATGAAAGCGATCAAAAGTTGATCTTCTTCAGCTGTCCATGGCCCTTTCTTCAGTCCCATCTTCTCACAACAAGGAGCTCTCCCCATCCTAGTTTGTTCTTTCTGGGACTCACTCTGCCGATCTGCCTCTCTCTCTCTCTCTCCCGTGTTTTGTTTTATTTTGTTGTTTTGTTTTTGAATTGAGATACCAAAGCTCAAGTGTGTGTTTGTAAAAGAAGGGTAAGGGTGGGGGGGCTATTTATACTGAAGATGTTCTGCCAAGTCAAAAGAGATGTAGAATAGTCCAAGGGCAGTACTAGTTATTCAAAATTGCCTAGCTTGCAATTTCCTGGAAAGGGGATCTCTTTATCTCATATATTTATCAACAATGATTCATCCCATTAAAAATATTACTACTAATAGCACTAATACATTAAAAAAGTAAAAAAATAAAAATACAACTCCAAGACCAAAACATCACATCATTAATGACGGGACCCACTGCCACCTAATTAGTGGGAGCACTAATTAGTGCTCCCAAGCATTTTTCTATATTTATATATTTTTCTTTAAGACTGAGCATATATACTAGTTGTGCAATTGAAATTATTCATGATGCTTGCTATAGTTGGAAATTTTATCTCCATTTTTTTTTATTTTTTATAGGCAGCTCCTTTCCGGTTTACAAACTGGACCGGATGGTAGGGTTATTCGTGAATCAATTTTGTTCAGTTTGATACTAATTTTGGAATCAATTCAATCATGATCGGTTCCAAATTTTTGGAATTAGAATCAAACCAATCATGCACTAGAACTAATCCAAACCAACCCAATGTAGGTGGGGTTCATTCAGTTTGGAACCACGGTTTCATCATATTAAAAATAATTGAGTCAATATTTTTTTCTAATTTGTTTACCTCTAATTTTGCATTAATATTTTCTTCTTCCTCCAAGTGCTTTAAAAATTCAATTTAAGAGACTTCACAATATCACCACATCTACTATCATGGGCTTATCAACTTCCATTTCATTTGAACTTTTACTCCTCCTATTTAAAGAAGAACTTGAAGCAAAGTCTAACATTTCATAATACACATACATACTATTCTTGAGTTCTCTTATTCTCCACACTAAATCATTTACCTTGTTAGTAAGTTAAATTATTTACCTTGAAGTATAGTTTATTACTCTTGGACCAATCATTCAAAATTTGTTCAATTGCAAAGACTTCGTAAAAATAGGAATTTGAAGTAACATATAAGACCATGGTAATATAAAAACATGTCAATATAATATAAAAATTAATATATATATATATACATGTATAGGTTTGATTCTCAAGTTGGTTCAGTTTAAATAAGGCCTAAACCAAAAATCAATCCAATCCTATCGGTTTGACAATTTGAAGACACGAAAAAACCAAACCAAACCAATTGGAAGACCCAAACCAAAGAGGTCAGTTTGGTTTGGTTCTTCGATTCTCTAGTTATTTTGAACACCCCTATTAGATGGTGCTGTTTAGGACCGTAAGGCCCATCACGAATTTCGTTTCGATAATTTAAATTGTTCATTTTTTTTGAACATTTCGTGTATTTTATTTACACAAAAATTAAATCGATCCAATAATTATAACATAATCAATTTATCACGTTTGTTACCAAAAAAAAAAGGATCTTTATTTTAAAAAACACAACTGTCATCCTTTTTTTTTGTGTGTGACAAAAACACAATAAATTGAATAAATTACAATTATTAAGTTAACTTAATTTTTTTATATGAATAAAATATAAAATATCTAATAAAATGAACGATTTGAATGATCAAAACGAACCTCTGAAGAATTCCACATACTCAAACAACGAGAAATTGGCATGAACTATAAGCAATGAGAAATAGTCCAACACCACTTTGGAAAGGACTTGGCTTTTGAAAGATAATGGCACCTTAATTAATTATGACGTTCCCACTATCTTAAAAAAAAAATTATGACGTTCCTAATTCAATGTCCATGTGTGACAAAGTCCACATTTGTTTGTTAGTTAATTTTTTACAAATGTTATCTACTCGAGAGAGAAAAAAAAATTCTAAAAAAAATTGTTCATAATTTGAATGTATTATCTGAGTCACATCAAAATAAATTTAATTTTAAATTTTAAACACTCTTTTCTAAGTATTTGTTTTTTGAATGGGTAAGATTATCGATGGGAGACTCTAATTTGGGCTTAGGAGTCCACTTTGATAATCTAAATTATTTATTTTGTTATTTTCATGTGTAATTATTTGTAACAATTAAATTGAATTGATAATCGTAATCACATACTTTTATTATATTTAAAAAAAATTATCAATTTTTATAAAATTAATTTGTTTTTTTTAGTGTATGATTCACACACAAAATTATAAAATAAATAACTCAAATTACATAATGAGACCCAGCACGCACCCAAATTATACCTCTTCAACTTACAGTAAACCAAAATCTCATCCTTTTATGAATGATAAGTGACAGTCAAACAAAATTTTTATATAAGATGATATAATTCTTGAATAAAGTAAAGGAGAAAGTTGACAAGAGTTGTCAATTTAGTGACTTGGTAAAGGCGCACGAGGAAAGAGTAGACGAAAGAAACAATACATGCATTCGTCCATGGATATACCTCGTATTATAATCATAATCACCATGATAAATTAAAAACATATATAAATAACAAATGACCTTAATAAAATGACGCTTACGGCTTGTTTGTGTAATAGTCTTCCCAAAGAAATTTCAAATGATATTTTTAGATTGATGGTACTACGTGCATCAATTAATATATTAATTAGTGTATTAATACTAGTTATGATATTATTATTGACCCTATTCATTATACAAATTATAAATATCAAAAATTTCTTAAATTATATCACATTATTAATTGATATACAAATTACCTATAGTATTATTCCTTTTAGGTAGCTCCCGATATCTATTACTTTTATTGCTTCTTCAGTATATCTGCTTTATCCAAATAGCCTCATTAATTAGTGTATTAATACTAGTTATGATATTCTTATTGACCCTATTCATTACACAAATTATAAATATCAAAAATTTCTTAAATTATATCACATTATTAATTGATATACAAATTACCTATAGTATTATTCCTTTTAGGTAGCTCCCGATATCTATTACTTTTATTGCTTCTTCAGTATATCTGCTTTATCCAAATAGCCTCAACTCAAGCACACCTTCCCTCTCTCTCACTTCTTTGATATGAGGAGCCCACTTTAATTCGAAAGCGATGCATTTATAATTTTATATTCAATCTTTGAATTCATGTGCCGTCAACTCAAGCTCACCTTCCCTCTTGCTTCTCTAATTTCATTATTAGGCTCTAGTTTGAAAGCAATGTGTTTGTAATTTTACATTTAATTTTTTTAATAATTTTTAAAAAATAGATTAAATTTAATAACTACTAGTATTTATTGTTTGAAATATTAACAAATAGGCATTTAAAAAGAAATAAAAAATAAAAAACAAACAAATAAACAACCAACGTTACAAAGCAATAAAATCTTTTTAGTTGTATATTTTAAATAATTATATAGATATATAGGCTCTGTTTGGTAACGTTTACGTTTTCAATTTATAGTTACAAAAATTTTATAAATCGGTTTTGTTTATTTTTAGAAAAACATAAACTACAAACGCGTTTGGTAATTGACAAAATGTTTAAAAATATTTAAAAATATAAAAAAGAGTGAGAAATGGTAAGTGGTGGCAAGTGGCGGCGGAAGACGGTGGTGGAAAGTGGTGACGGTGGGTGGTGGGTAGCGGATTCATGTCTGTTATACATTTCCTGTATATATTGTGATCGATTGCTATGCAGAACATGGTAAGACCTGCAGATGGGATTAAATCAATAAAGTTGCGCAGCGGAAGCGTGGTAAGAATTCACGTTGAACGGTAAGACAAGTTATATGCCTAGGACTAAGTGAAATGTGTGTTATTAATTGTGACTGTAGAATTGATAGATATCTGCGAAGCATCTGTTTAAATGACTTACATGATTTAGTGCGTACATAAAATGTGCGATGTGTACTTTCTGTAACATAGCCACATTCTCCTTATTATAACAATGTTTAAACCTGCGAGTTCGAGAGGTTATTGTGAGTTGATAGTTGCTAAAATAAGTTTCGCATGATACTTTGTAATGTGTTGAAAAGGACTGGCTGTGATAAGAAGTTATACATATGGTGATTCTGTTTTGTTCATGCGTAATCTGTGATCTGTAATCAGAATTTCTTATAAGGAATGGTCGAATAATATGAAGAACCCCACCTATATGATGAGTCTGCGCTAGTGTGGGTGGTAAAAAAAAAAAAAAAAAACTGAAAACTCAAAATGAAAACACCTTTTTTGAGTTTACATTTTTTAGCCAAATTTATAAACTAAGACCACTGATTTATAAATCAAAAATTTACCAAACAAGTTTTTATTTGAATTTTTAAAATTTTTGTAAATATAAACAGAAAACTGAAAACGTAAGTGTTACCAAACGGCACCATATTGTTTTATGTAAATGAATGATTATACTATTATTTGATACACACGTATATACTGCAAAAAGTTTAACTGTGATAAGATTAAAATTGTTCTTTCAAATGAAATTAATCGATGGAGGAAGGAGGGAGTGGTGGATATTGGAAACCATTAGAGCAAAATGACATTATTTTGTTGTAAATTATTTGTAATAGCATTAATGCCATCACAAATAACCATTTTTTTTACAACCATATATAATGTTGACACAAGTTACACCATATATGTTACAAAATTATTCGCGACAAGAGTTTGCCATTGCTAAAATTCACATTTGCAATGAGTTATATCACTGTTGCAAAAAAACAACAAAAAAAGAAAAAGAAGGTTTGGACCTAATTTATTCTGATTATAGCGTACATCACAATAAATCTGAGTCTACACTATATGCATTCCAAGCTAGTAATTTTCTTTTTTTTTGATATTGTCAATGATAAAACTGGACCATCTTTTAAGGAGAAGCAATTTTGATAAATTCAACTAATCTGGATCTGTGTAGGTTGAACTAATTTCCCTAACTCCTGCATATGAGATACCCATCTACAAAAGCTACAATTGCTCATACCGTTTCAACCTTTTACTCCTACTATTTATTAGAACAGTCCCGTTTTGTAGCTCGAATCTCTGAAGGCTCGAATGGCCTGAAATTTCA